GTCTGCCAGTGGTTGTCCGTGGGGGTAATTGTCTGACAGGAGTTGTTCGTGGGGGTAATTGACTGACAGTAGTTGTCAGTGGGCGTAATTGTCTGCCAGTGGTTGTCCGTGGGGGTAATTGTCTGACAGGAGTTGTTCGTGGGGGTAATTGACTGACAGTAGTTGTCAGTGGGCGTAATTGTCTGCCAGTAGTTGTCCGTGGGGGTAATTGTCTGACAGGAGTTGTTCGTGGGGATAATTATCTGACAGGAGTTGTTCGTGGGGGTAATTGTCTGACAGTAGTTGTTCGTGGGGGTAATTCTCTGACAGGAGTTGTTCGTGGGGGTAATTGACTGACAGTAGTTGTCAGTGGGCGTAATTGTCTGCCAGTAGTTGTCCGTGGGGGTAATTGTCTGACAGGAGTTGTTCGTGGGGATAATTATCTGACAGGAGTTGTTCGTGGGGGTAATTGTCTGACAGTAGTTGTTCGTGGGGGTAATTCTCTGACAGGAGTTGTTCGTGGGGGTAATTGTTTGACAGGAGCTGTCCGCGGGGGTAATTGCCCGGCAGTAGTTGTCCGTGGGAAGATTGTCCCGCAGTAGTTGTCAGTGGGGGTGATTGTCTGACAGTGGTTGTCCGTGGGGGTAATTGTCTGACAGTAGTTGTCCGTGGGGGTAATTGTCTGACAGTAGCTGTTCGGGGGGGTAATTGTCTGACAGTAGTTGTCCGTGGGGGTAATTGTCCGGCAGTAGTTGTTCGTGGGAAGATTGTCCCGCAGTAGTTGTCAGTGGGGTGATTGTCCGGCAGTGGCTGTCCGTGGGGGTAATTGTCTGACAGTAGTTGTCCGTGGAGGTAATTGTCCGGCAGTAGTTTTCCGTGGGAAGATTGTCTGGCAGTAGTTGTCCGTGGGAAGATTGTCCGGCAGTAGTTGTCCGTGCATGGGGGTAATTGTCCGGCAGTAGTTGTCCGTGAGGGTGATTGTCCGGCAGTAGTTGTCCGTGGGGGTGATTGTCTGACAGTAGTTGTCCGTGGGGGTAATTGTCCGGCAGTAGTTGTCCGTGGGGGTAATTTTCTGACCGTAGTTGTTTGTGGGGTAATTGTCTGACAGTAGTTGTCCGTGGGGGTAATTTTCTGACAGTAGTTGTTCGTGGGGGTAATTGTCTGACAGTAGTTGTCCGTGGGGGTAATTTTCTGACAGTAGTTGTTCGTGGGGGTAATTGTCTGACAGTAGTTGTCCGTGGGGGTAATTATTGTCTGACAGTAGTTGTCCGTGGGGGTAATTGTCCGACAGTAGTTGTCCGTGGGTGTAATTTTCTGACAGTAGTTGTTCGTGGGGGTAATTGTCTGACAGTAGATGTCCGT